TTAGCCAGGATGGTCTCGATCTCCTGACCTCGTGATCCACCCGTCTCGGCCTCCCAAAGTGCTGGGATTACAGGCTTGAGCCACCGCGCCCGGCCTTTGAGTCTTTTTTTAATGGTATTTCTTCAAACTAGTACCGTCCATCTTATAAATAGAAAACATTTTCCAAAATTTATGACGTATAAAAAGATTGTAGCTATGGATTCTAGAAATGATACGGATGTATTTTTTATTTTTGTATTGATTTGGTAACTTCACTTGCAGGATTCTGCTTTTGATAATTTGTAGAAGTCTGTTCTTATCACTTGAAGAATCATTTCAATTTTCACTTTTCTTTATTTCTCTGTATATTGTGCTTGTTTTCCCCAAATTCATCAACTGATCTGAGATTGAATTTGGCTAATTACAAATTTTATTTAATTTTAAGTCCTTAATAAGTTGTGATAAAGTACGTAAACTAATTAAAAAATGTGTCATGATTCACAACATCCAGCAATCTGCTATGTTCTTTGAAATACACCTTGAATATAAGAGAACTTAAAAACAAGCCATATATATTTTTTATGAGAGATAGAAAATTATCAAAATTCATCCTCTATGAAACCTCTTGGATAATCAAATAAAAATCTGGTGCTACTGGGAACAAGAAAGAGGGGCACGTACACTCTGAATTCAAGTTCTAGGTACGTGTCATATAGGCTTAAATCATATGATAAGGAACGAATGAATGGCAAGTAGCTAGAAATATTTTCAAACGCAAAATTACATTTTGGACAATTTCAAACAAAAATTATAAGTAGAACAAAGAGAATTGATAAAATAATGATGATTACCTACTTTTGCATTAAATTCACAGTGTATGGTTTCCCTTCAATTACAATTTTGTAGGATACCTGGCAGGAGAGCACAGTAAAAATACAAAGAAAATGAGAAAAATGTTAGAAAGGATAACCACCATTTTACATTCATGATAATTACATTCTAAAACACATTCATTTAATAAAAGGAGAAAAAATTAGAATTCAATGCTGATTTATTTGAATGGCATTTGACATTATAACTCTAGATTTCATAATCAAAATAATGAATAAAATAATGTATATACTTTCTTATTTTTTCATTTTGAAATGTGTGTGTTGATTTTATGTCCTGCAACTTTATTGAATTCATCTGTTTGATCTAACAGTTTTATGGGGGAGTCTGGGGTTTTCTATATATGGGATCATGTCATGTGCTAATAAAGATATTTTACTTCCTTCTGATTTTGGATACTGTTTATATCTTTTTCTCTGTCCTTGATATCAGTACTATGTTGAGAGTGGGAATCCTTGTCTTGCACCACATCTTAAAGAAAAAGCTTTGGCCCGGCGCAGCGGTTCACACCTATAATCCCAGCACTTCGGGAGGCTGAGGCAGGCGGATCATGAGGTCAGGAGTTTGAGACCAGCCTGACCAACATGGTGAAACCCCGTCTCTACAAAAACATAGAAAAAATTAGCCCAGCGTGGTGGTGGGTACCTGTAATCCCAGATACTCGGGAGGCTGAGGCAGGGGAATTTCTTGAACTCCGGAGGCGGAGGTTGCCGTGAGCCAAGATGGCGCCATTGCGCTCCAGCCTGGGCAACCGGGTGAGGTTCCGTTAAAAAAAAAAAAAAAAAGAAGTTTTAGTTCCTTTCCACTAATTATGATGTTGACTATGGGTTTTTCATAACTGTCCTTAATTATATTCAGGTACCTTCCTTCTACACCTAAACTGTTGAGTGTTTTTAATCAAGAAAGGATGTTAGACTTTGTGGAATGCTTTTTCCTGGTCTCCTGGTGTCTTCATATCCACATGCGTCTATGCTCAGATTCCTTGTTCTTTACAAGGACACCAGTTATATGATATTAGAGCCCATTCTATTCTAGTAAACTCATTTTAATTTAATTACCTCTTTATAAGTCTGCCTCCAAATATGCTTACGTTCTGAGGCATCAGGGGTTAGGACTTCAAGAAATAAACTCTGTTTTGGATTTGGGACAATTGTTCTGAAGATTCAACTTTTTAAAGTCATTTCTCAGTTAAAATATGTTTACTATTACCTCTTCTTCTTTTTCCCCCTATTTCAGGAATGCCAATCACCCTATGCTTAAGCTTCTAATTCTGTCCTTTTCTCTTAGCCTTTCATATGTTGCATTTCATTTCTTTAGGTGTCTCTGTTCTACTTTAAATCCCTGACTTTTATATTTTCATATTGCATTTTCCACTTTTAGAAGTTGCATTCAGTTATTTTTAAAATCTAGTAATTTTAGGTTGAATGTTCTTATGGCTTTTAGTCTTTAACTGTAATAATTTAAAATATATATTTTCATATTACTTTTATAGTATTTATTGAATTAGCATAATAGCCTCATTGCTTTAAAAAATACTATTAATTCGTTTCTTTATATCTGGCGCTGTTCTAGGCAAGAAGAATACAGATATTAACAAAATAGACAATTTTTTGTCTCATGAATTTGACAGTTGAAAATGGGCATTTTTTTTTTATTTATTGCAAATCACTATCTTATAACAATCAAGTAATTCTTGTTTGAAATACTTGTCTCCAAATAGATTCTCTGCTTATTTTCTAATATGATTAACATCCCCATAATTCTTTTACATTAAAAATCTTTCATAAAAGCCTCACTGCTTATTTTCTATTTAAATGATTTGTTTTATTAATAGATATGCATTCATTTAAAAATGTTTTATATACCATCTTAAGCTATAATGTCTGTATTAGGATGACAAATGGATACATGCTAAGGAAATATTTGCATTTAAATTACCAAGCATCTGCTAAACCAAAAAAGAAAAAAATTGATGTCTCAAGAAACCACATTCCACTTCAGAAATGGATTCTAGAACTTAGTGAAAATGACAAGAAGCTTTTAAATTCTAATTTTAAAAAGAGAATAATAATTCTGAACTAAAATAATCTAAAATAACATAAAGAGTCCTAATCATTAACATATTTCAATCAGGGCTAAAAAATCATTAATATAACATCACTAATTCAAGTGATCATCATCCCGTATAAGCAAGCCGAGGCTTACTTTGCAACAATGACAAAAAAATTCCTCCAAATACAGCCTGAACGGTGAGTGAGAACAGAATCTCTAGAACAATCAAGCCAATGATTATTCAAAGACATCCAAGAGGAAGACAGATTCAGAAAATGGACTTGGGGCTTTGATATCCAGCATCACTGCACCATTATTTCTGTGAAACATTGTTGATCCTGGTTCATTTACAAAAGGACTTTTCCATTCAGGGAAAATTGGGTATAAATAAAAATTGGATATAAATATAAAATTCAACAGGTGTGCATGAATGGAAAATGGCAGATTAACTTCTTAGAAATAAAATATTTACATGATTTTTAATTTGTAAATAATGTTAGTGATTCATTACCTGCGATTCAATTTCTTCCTTTATTATTGACCGTATTTTCTCCGGAACTGTAATTTGCACAGGTAAACTATCAAAATCTGCAAAATGTGCAAAATGTTTTATTAGAACAATACCCATCATTTCAGAGCTTCTTTTGTGAGTTTTTCATCTATATCTCTAATCTCTATTCTATATGCTGCTTCTCAGTTTTATTATCTTCCCATTTCTTTCTAAAATTACAAGGAGGTTTTTTTTCTGGCTTTTTAAATTTTTTTATTTTTTATTTTATTTTTTATTTTTTTTGAGACGAAGTCTCTGTCGCCCAGGCTGGAGTGCAGTGGCACAATCTCCGTTCACTGCAACCTCAGCCTCCCGGATTCAAGCGATTCCCCTGCCTCAACCTCCCGAGCAGCTGGGACTACAGGCACGCACCACCACCGCTGGCTAATTTTTTATATTTTTAGTAGAGAGGGGCTTTCACTGTGTTAGCCAGGATGGTCTCGATCTCCTGACCTCGTGATCCGCCTTTCTCGGTCTCCCAAAGTGCTGGGATTACAGGCGTGAGCCACCGCGCCCGGCCATATTTTTTTAAAAAAGAAGTAGGTATATTGCTTTAGGAGTATTGCCCTGTAGGTAGGATCTGGTAACCTTGGGTCAATAGGTTCAAGCCCCTCCTCACTCTGGACTCTTCAACTAGAGAGTACAGAAGTTGGGTCTCAACCTTCACTGTCGTGAAAAATGCAAAGCAGGATCTGAAACTACAATTTTGAAGCATCC